CGGGATGAATCGTTTCAACGCAAGACTGGCTATGCCCAGCAACAGGATCTACACTTGAGCACTGCCACGGTGCGCGAGGCGCTGGAGTTCTCCGCTCTTCTTCGCCAGCCTGCGCATGTTCCTCGCCGAGAAAAGATCAACTATGCAACCGAAGTCATCAAGCTTCTTGATATGACAGACTATGCTGACGCTGTTATCGGCGTCCCTGGAGAAGGCCTCAATGTTGAGCAACGGAAACGTCTCACAATCGGGGTAGAGCTTGCGGCGAGACCGGCCCTGCTTCTTTTCTTGGATGAACCCACGTCGGGGCTCGATTCCCAGACATCCTGGGCTATCCTTGATCTCCTCAATAAACTGAAGAACAACGGCCAGGCGATCTGTAAGTTTGGGGTTTCAGGCATCCATCACTATTCACTAACTCCATCCCAGTGTGTACCATCCACCAGCCGTCTGCTATGCTGTTCCAGCGTTTTGACCGCCTCCTCTTCCTTCAAGCCGGTGGCCAGACCGTATACTTTGGAGAAATTGGCAAGAACTCGCAGACTCTGATTGATTACTTCGTACGCAACGGGGGCCCTCCCTGCCCCCCGGCAGCGAATCCTGCTGAATGGATGCTTGACGTTATCGGTGCCGCTCCTGGCTCCCACACGGACATCGATTGGTTCGAGACATGGCGCAATTCTCCTGAATACGCACAAGTCCAAGCGCACCTCAGCTTACTGAAGCTCGAGCGCTCCCAGCAGAACCCACCGGCCCGCGTCAGCTCCAGCACTGAGCGCGAGGACCGAGCCAGCTATCGCGAATTTGCTGCCCCTTTCTGCACTCAGCTCCGTGAAGTGCAGATCCGAGTCTTCCGGCAGTTCTGGCGCTCGCCCATCTACATCTACTCCAAAGCCATTCTCTGCGTCTTGCCCGCTCTCTTCGTCGGCTTCTCGCTCTTCAACACCCCCAACACAATCCAGGGCCTGCAGAATCAAATGTTCAGCATCTTCCTGTTACTCATCCAATTCGGGCAGCTCATCCAACAGATCATGCCGCATTTCGTCACGCAGCGGGCACTATACGAAGTGCGCGAGCGGCCGTCGAAGACCTACTCATGGAAGGTCTTCATGCTCAGCAACATCGGCGTGGAACTATTCTGGAACTCGCTCATGTCCATCCTCATGTTCTTGTGCTGGTACTACCCGATCGGGATGTACCGCAACGCCGAACCCACCGACACCGTGCACCTGCGGGGCGCGCAGATGTGGCTGCTGATCTGGACCTTCCTGCTGTTCTCGTCGACCTTCGCCCACTTTATGATCGCGGCGCTCGACGCCGCGGAGAACGCCGGCAACCTGGGGAGCTTCCTGCTGCTGCTCTGCCTGCTCTTCTGCGGGGTGCTCGCGACCCCCGCCCAGCTGCCCGGGTTCTGGATCTTCATGTACCGCGTCTCCCCGTTCACCTACCTGGTGAGCGGGATGCTGTCCGTGGGTATCGCCGACACGACCGTCACCTGCGCCGCCAACGAGTATCTGCGCTTCGACCCCGTCAACGCCACCTGCGGCCAGTACCTGGCGCCTTACATCGCGCAGGCGGGCGGGTATTTGCTGGAGGAGGCCGCGACGGCGGACTGCCGATTTTGCCCGGTCGCGGACACGAATGCGTATCTGCGCGGGGTCGGGGCGAGCTACGCGGATGTCTGGCGCAACTTCGGGCTCATGTGGGTGTTCATCGTCACGAATATTGTGGCTGCGTGTCTGCTGTACTGGTGGATCAGGGTGCCGCGGGTGAAGAAGCCAGTGGCTGTGGCTCCACAAGCTTGAGGGTAACTGGTCTCTGTTGTTATGGTCGGGTTGATATTGTGTTTTGCTTCGGCTCATTACTTGTATGAATATCGTCTGGGTAGAGTAGGGACTTTGTATGGCGTTGTTATATCAGTGCTAATAGTAAGAATAAGACTAATACTAGAGATAGCATTTAAATGTAGCTTACTTGTTTTGATAGAGGGTTTATACACTACTCCCCGGCCTAGATCTGTGATTACTTTCATACATGCAATAAAAGGTGTCAAACTGTTGCGCGACTGGGGTGACTGCTTACCCTTCCCTGAAGCGCACTTGCCCTAACTCACCTCCAGTTGTGCAATAGAAAAGCAGCCTTATCTACGAGCTTACCCGCGCAGCACCTGACACACAAGGATTCGAGATACAAGGATTATTTTGCCTAGCCTATAGATACCACGACGAGGTAATGTCTACTATGTGGTGGGTGATCTAGTCTCGCAGGCAGAGTGGACTTGGATATATATCTTGACTGTGCAAGGTCTGCTAATATCAATGGCATCCAGGACCACCGTGGTCGGTCGGGTCGGACAAAATCTTCACTGGGTCATATTCAGTGACTGTCGATCGCAGCCTGAATCACCGATTGCGCTGCTAAAGTTATTTCAACAGGTGTCTCCGATGATGCATCTCTCCCGTCATTCTACATGCCAATGCATAATGTCCTCCCGCACAGTGCATAAGATCATCGTGTGACGCTCTGATCCGGTGTCTTGCCAAATGTGAACATGGAAATCCGCTCATATCTGAACTTTAATCCGGTCAAGAAACAATATATACTGCTAACTGAAAGAGTAAGCATCAGTTAACCTTTACTCCATCCGCGCTTGGATGTCGAATGTGCCGTCTTTTGTGTTTCTCGAGTAATTATCACAGCTCTGTGGGCTCATTCTTGCCTTGCTAGTATTGGCTCGCAGGGTAAGAGAGGCAACTCTGCCTCGGCCTATTATAAGCCTGCTGAGCTCCGACAAAATATTCATGTTCTTATGAGCGCATTTGTTGAGAGAATTCTGTTCGATAAAAACAGGCCTCCCAGAGCCATTGGCGTCTAATACAGTTTCGATGGTGTCTCAAAGACTGTGCAGGCAAAGAGTGAAGTTATACTTGCCGCTAGTGCTTTTCAAACTCCTAAAATCCTCCAACTTTCAGGTTGACAAAATCGGAACAGCGGTCCGAGATGTTGGCGTGTGTTTCCCGCTGTATTGGCCACATTGTCTTTGAGGTCAGCGATGAATGGGGGAGCCATTGCCTTCCCCGGCAAGCCTTAAGCTTTTGACTGTAAACCAAAATCTTACTGGGTTACTACACAGTCAAATATGTCAATGACAGATGTAGTTAAGTGTTTGTGAAAACAAGAGTTAGTTACGTTATCTGAATTGAACATATAAAGATTAAAATAAGAATAACTATTATATAGTAACGCTCTTTCTTCTCTATATGTAGACTTTTATGAAAGCTACTCTGATCTTAGCCAACTATAAGAGATAGGGATCATACTCTATAACTAATTTACATCCGGGGAAGGAGAGGTTACGTTCAGTGAACAGCACCGGTACGCATACGTAAAAGCAAAAGGTTTTGGTAGGGGTGTTTGACAGCCGTATTGAGAATAGTAAATGAGATGATGATGGGTTAGTACTGTACTGTTCACGGACCCGACGCCACCCGCACAAGTCGCGTTTTCTAGGGGCTTTCGAGACTCGACGGGTGATATAGACATCGGACCTCGTCGACCTGCTGCCGCATCTTGTGGCTGCCCAGCACCGTCTACTTCCCTCAAATCACTACTACATATATGTTCTCAACTATGTCCTACCACTCCTACAACGTGTACAAAAGTACTTAGTCGAAGAGAGGGAGAAAAAAACATACAACAGAAGGGATTCGCTGGTGGTCACCCACCCAACTACTAACCTCCCGGCGTGTGGCTTAAGTACGGCTGAGCGGACGGGAAGCCCTGTTTTCCACACCCTGTGGTCGTATGTATCAGCTCTTGGAAGGGAAAGGCTTATATTCAGTGACTGCCATGGGGAAAGGGTAAGGAGCTCGCTCACTCTGTTTTCCAGGCAATCGGTCGGTCGTCGGCCCTAGGCTCGCCCCCACCCCCCCCAACGGTAAATTTCTTGAATGAAGTTAAGCAAAAAATCCTATGCAGTTAAGTTACTCTTCTCAGCTCTGAGTCGATCGGTATTCGACGAGAAGATCCGATATGCTCGTAAGATAGGAATTCGGGCGCCCGTGAATTGGCGTCTGACATCTCAACCTGAAAATCTGAACCCGAAGAAAAGAAAATCGATAAGAGATACACGTCACACAATGAAAATTGTAGTAGTAGTTGAATGACTGAAGGATGACCTCAGTCCCTGCAAATCAAATATCGCATTACTAACATGTCCATGGGAGCCAATGCTTCTTACTGGTCGGAAGTATATATTTCTCATCCCTTCTCCTGTTTACAACGGGTGTCTCTCAGACTGAGTATATAACACAGGGCTTTCAAGGCACTAATTATCTTTGTTATGAAGCAGGAATACTACTAAGCAACCATTATACCTACTATTCTTCATACCATTGTGGTTACCCCTGATAAATCTTTGCTTACCCACAGGCTGCAGCCACGTTCCACAGAATGGTAGCGCCTATTTTTAGTATCTTGGCGCTGGTATGCGTCTCTGGGGTCAACAGCCCTACTGTCGGGCTTAGGTCAGGCTTGCGGAGACTGCTTTAGTGATTTATCTCAAGCCGATGTTCATTTGCTCGGAGATACGACGTGTTGTAGCGACCGAGGGTTAGCCTAGGCCCAGAGAAAGCCACACGAGCTGCTACGGGAAGTAACATTTTTCATCCTCACTGTTCGTATTCGCCGGCAAAACAAGTCACAGACATCCTATGCACAGACTACGACTACTCTCCCTGCTTAAACAAAACAAGGCAACCTTAATGCAGTAAGGATTGTGCCATTGGAGAAAACTCGCGACTCTGCAGAGCAAAAGACATAAATCGAAAAAACACACAAGACTGTAAACTGAAACAAAGGCCAAAATTAACACTCAGACACGATCGATCGCAAACTCAACCAAGATAAAGCCCCCTTGCAAACACCTCATCCCCTCCTCTACCAGACATCTACCCATCATCTTGCCCGCTCAGCGGCATCAAGCCACCCATGCGCAGCCTCTAAAAGTCCTTGAGGTAGTCACCGATGAAGTGCTTGAGGATATCCTCGACCTTGGAGACGTCGGAGTATCCGAGGCTGATAACGAAGTCGGCGCCCTTGGAACCGAGGGAGGTCAGGGTATTTTCCATGAAGCGGTGCTGTGAATGTGTGAGCATGTGTGAACTGTAGAGGCCTGCTTCTTGGAGCAACACCAACCTGATAGGGCTTGTTGGACTTGTCGTGGTAGACCAGGAAGCGGTTGGTCTGGTCCTTCTTCTGGCCGTACTGGAACTCGTCGCTGACGACGACGGTGAGGTCGTCGCCGTCGACCTTGCGTGACTTCAGCTGCTCGAGCTTGCTGGCCTGCACGAAGATGACGCCCTGGTCGCCGGCTGGAGGGGCAGAAGAGCAGTCAGTCACGCTGATTCGATGGCATGGAGCAATGGCTCGGGAGCGGGTTCGAGATTGAGACTTACGGTTGGTCTTGTTCGTCCACTTGCAGATCCAGTAGTCCTCGTGGCGGTCGCGGAAGGTCTGCTGCCACCGGACGGTGACCTTCTTGCCCTCCGCGCCGCCGAGGAACTGGGTGGGGATGGTGATGGTGTTTCCCTTAGAGACAGGCATGATGAAGATGTGTGGATTGTGGTAGACGAAGGTGTCTAAAGAGTGTAGAAGTGAGTAGTTGAGAGGATGATTTAAAAGTTGCTGTTGTTGATGAAAAGCTATCTCAATGACGGGGGAGTTTCCCATTTTATAGACCCAGCATACTGCTGATTGAGAGGATGGCGTGCTGGGGAGTCGGCGATGCCGAATCGAACCATGCGTTCTTCGTCGTCAACGTGGAACTGCAGGCAAGTCAACCCGAGAAACTCGCTTGGAAGGAGATAGCGGGCGCAGCTGAGGTTCAGCCCCAGCTCAGCTGCGCCGCGTTGTGATGCTATTGCGGGGAGTGCAAACAAGGAGAGTATAGACGAGACGGGATCTTGGATGGAGGATCGGTGGTTACTGCCCGGGCCGGTGCCAAGCGTCGGGGGCGAACCCCAGCGATCGGCAGCAACTCCAAGCGAGTAGCACCCCGGACACCTTACCTTAACCGGGGCACCGCCGCGCGAACTGGTGATCCACTTTTCCGGCCGGACGATCGAGACGAGGTTTCCCCCGATAGAAGACTGTACCGCCACTGTGGCGGGTCACTTGGACGGCCATTCTTCAGGCAAGCCCCCCAGCCAAAAGCGGTCATACATGCCGACACTCCCACAATCGGCTGTGCTATTCGTCGGGACCTGCCTCGGCTCTGACTTGCCTCCCTGGGGGGTACAGCTGCAGGAACCATTGGGGTAGAAAGTGCCGACTCGCGCCTTGGCGTTGGCCAAGGGTCAGCTGCACGGATCTAGCGTCGGTGCATGCACCAACATGCGTGGATATGGGGACGAGCCCATGTGGTCGTGCTCTCACTGAGAAAGACGATGTTCAAACCCGCAAATTGATTGTTTCGCCTCTCGAGCGTAGGTGTTGTTTAGTGAAACGCGTCCGGCAAGCAAACACCGTCCGATTCCCCTTAGCGAGGCAGGACCAGCAGCAACGGAGGCATTCGCCCGATGTCGCCGTGTTATAAACCACACCACCGACCTGACCACAATTCACGGCAGATAGAGAAGTCCTCGAGCACGAAGCAATCAACAGCGTGATGGCGGGAGACGACATCTGGCAGGATGACATCTTCGCATCCGTGGCTCGTGACCGATCCAACCCTACCTCCCGCTCTTCTTCCACTGCGTCCCCCACCGATCAGACGGCCCGATTCTTCCAGTCCGTCGGCGACGTCAGTCTCAGCGACGCTCACCTCGCCGCGGCTGGAGACGAGGGCGAGCCCAAATTCACCGGCTGGGACGGGTTCTGGTCGGATCCTCTCTTCGAGAATGTCGCCGGTCGGCGCGAACGCGGCGCAGGGCAGCAGGATCGCGAATTCTGGAAGTACGAGGTGGACGAGGCAATCCCGCTGTCGAGCCTCTTTCCTTCCCTCGACTCTGATGCGTGGAGCGAGCTGCGTTTCCGCAAGTCGGCCATTGAGTTCTGGTCGCAGCCCATTGGGACGGAGCCCGCCGGGATCTACCTGCGCACCGAGATTGAACTCAATGGAGCGCTCGACGGCGTGTTCCAGGTCTTCCGGACGGTTCTTGGGGAGGCGGTGCAGCCCATCCTGCGGCTGTCAGCCTATCTCGGGCTGACCATGGAGCAGGACCAGACCATGGCTATCGACGGGGTCTCCCTGTCCGGCAGCTTGATCGGACTGCGGACGCCCATGCCCCCGGTCTTGGAACTGGTCACTATCCTGTCGGTCGGCTTGCGTCTTAACGTGGGCAGCACGACTAATCTGGTCGGAGAGCATAGCGCAGTGCAGGCCGGGGTCTTTGGCGATCTGCAGATCCAGTTACCGGGCCTGACGGGGTCGTTGCAATTAGAGTATGAAGCAGACCTCTCTGACGAATGGCTGAAGCTCAGCATGACGATCCCTGGCAACCAAAAATGGGAGAACGCGCTGGGAGCGGACTCGTTTCATGTGAGATGACACCATCACCTGCCCCCTGCGAGAGCTTCTAAAGCTAATACCCACCAGCTGGACGAGGTCCGATTCTTCGCAAAGATCCCGCTTGATACACCCGCCTCCGCAGATACAACCACCTCCGGGGCTATCCCCGATCCGCAGTCACTGCTTTCCGTTGCCGCGACGGCCAGATGGAAAGGCTCCAACGGGGCTGACATTAGCCTGACAGGACTGATCGTCAAAGGACGATCCGGTGAGTTCATATTGCATAGAAGTTTTTTTCACTACACAAAGTTTTAACATCTCGTTAGATCTCTCGTTCCTGGAAGGACACATGGAAAAGGTCACCTGGTCCGACATCAAGCGTCTCTTCAGCGATGTGCATGGCCGGGATCTCGACGACACTGAGCATGAGATTACCTGCGAGAACCTCACGGTCCGCATCTCGCAGGCCCAATTCCTGCTTCAGGGGTCCTTGACGATCAACGGTCGACCGCTGGCCAAGGCGACGATCGCGATCACGCGGGCAGGGATTGCCATCACGGCCGAGGTGGACAAGTGGGAGGTCGGCGACGGCCTCGTGGTCATCGAGCGTGCCGCGCTGACCTTGTTGGTGGGCAGTGGCAGTCGCGGTGACGTGGACAGCAAAGGTCCGCGTCAACCGGGGGATGAGCCGCCCACAAAGAGACGACGGACCGCCAGCAGCCCGGACAAAGAGAAGAAGGGATGGAGTGGGTCCTTGGAGGTGACTGGCCGCGTGCTCATCCACACCGATGGACAGCAGGGCAAGAGCGGACAGGCCCCCGTGGAGGTGGATGTCACACTGGCCATGGGCAAACAGAACGAGGACTGGTTCTGGGTGGTGTGCGGCCACCTGAAGGCCGATCTCTCCTTGAGTCGGTTTGTGTCGGCCATCGACGAGGACTCGGACATCGATTTACGTCTCAAGGAGATTTCGTTGATTGCTTCGAGCACGAATAGTCCGACTTGTAGTTTGGACACCAATGGCTATACCATTCAGCAAGGCAGGTCTTCCCCCTTCAGACATCCTTCGTCTTGCTACGTAGAAACTAACATAAGGCCGTGATATCAGGGTTCTTTCTTTGTGCCAGGTTAGAGCAGGTGCCGCTGCTGCAGATGGGCAATATGGTGAAGCAGCCCGCGGCCGGGGATCAATCGTATCTCAGCCTGGGCTGGGCCAAGGGGTCTAGCATTCCCTCCGTGTCCATTTATTTACCTGAGTCCTTGAAGGTAAAGTGTTCCACGTTGCTGCTTTGGTCCATCGAAGATCGTGAGGTGCATCAGGCTAACACAGTGGTGGTTTGGGCAGATCGAGCTAGGGCCTCGGTTCCGGTCGCGTCGCTTCCAGCTCTCCCTGGGCAGCTCCGCGACCGGCGGGGTGGCGTTCGCATTCCGAGGCATCTTCGACGTCAAGGTGGGCGACGAGAATAGCTGGTACAAGTTCGACCTGAAGATGGCCGTGGATCCGATTGGCGCGGATGGTGAACTGTAAGCAAGCGAACCTGGAGATCCCAGTGCCTTCGCTGACTCTAATACTTGTGTCATGCTAGCTTCTTCGACGGCAACATCAACAATCCATTCGGCCTGAGCAAGCGATTGACGATTGGTAAGCTCACATGGTTTCCCTGTCTGTGAAATGTGACGGGTCAGCCAGCTCACAAACCTTTTGTACCTCCAGGACCCCGACTGGGCATCGGACTGAAGTTCAACTGGGCCCAGCTAGCCGCCTCGGGTCTGCCAATCGGAGCTGGCATCAAGGGAAGTCTCTACTTGGACAACAACGTAGACAAACCCTATGACCTAGTGGTGTACATCTGCGAGGATCCGCGGGACATGATCATCGAGGCCAAAGCCCCGTCGATGGACTATACCGAGATCATACAGTTCGTGGCCGCGGCGATGGACACGAAGATCCGGACGACCGACGTGACGCTCTTCCGCTTCCAGGACGTGCTCATCTACGCCAGCATGGGGGCCACCTTTGGCGGAGAACACTACCCGGCCGGCTTCCGTCTCAAAGGCGGGCTGACCATCTGCGATCACGAGGCCGCCATGGACGGGTCCCTGACCACGGAGGGTCTGCAGCTCAAGGCGTGGCTGCAGACCTTCCGACTGGGGCCGCTCAGCGTCGGCGGAGACGTGGTCTTACCGGGCAAGCCGGGGACTTTCGCGCTGCTGGACATGGAGCTGACCCGTGAGCGGCAGGTGTTTGTGCTGAACGGGTTCGTGGAGCTCTTCGACCTGCGGGCCGCGGTGGACGTTCATATCCAGCTGCTGCCCTCCCCGATATTCTACTTCAGCTTCGAGATGCAGTGGAGCACATTGCTGGCCATCAAGGCCAAGGCCGAGATGATCGGCGGCGCCGATCTCATGCGCAATCCCCGCGAGGCCAGCTGGGACGTCAGTGCCGAGTTCGAACAGACGATTGTCCAGGAGATGGCCCGCAGTCTGGAGCGAGCCCTCAAGGCTGTGCACGAGAAGGTCGAAGCGAAGATCAACAGCGCTAAGCAGGCGGTTGCGGACGCAGAGCGGGTCTACAAGGAGAATATTGCCGAAGCGCAAGCAGAATTGGAGAAGGCCCGGGCCCAGTACCAGGCTGAGAATGACCGACTGGATCAGGAACTGGATCGTCTCGAGCGGGAAACGCAGGCCCAGTCTGTTGTACATCGCGACGCTGTCCTCGAGAAAAAAAAGGAGGAATCGTCCGCCGTGGCAGAGGCCGAGACCGTCCGCGACCACACAATCCACGAGGCTAATGCAGAAGTCCAAGAGAAGGAACGGGCCTTGAACAACGAGGAATCTCGAGGAACAAGGGAGCACAACGACGCCATCTCCGACCGTGAACGGAGGAGACAACAATTCATGGCCAAGTTCGGAGATGCCGAGGCCGCCGTGCAGCGCGCGCGGGACAACGTGGCCAACGCCAAACGTAAGTGAAATGCTCCCGGTCTCTGCTCAACCGCCCTGGGCTCCAACGCGTTCTGATCATTCCTCAGGGTCGGTCGAGAATCTCCGGAGTCAAATTGATAGCCTGGAAAGCAGACTCAGCGGCCTGCGATGGTTCCAAAAGGCTCTCGCCTTGGACACAGTGCGTCTTGCCCTGCCCGCCTCCTTGTTTGCTTTCTTGCAATCCACTGACCTATCCTCGCTTTCAACAGCACCTACAGATTGCCGCCCTCGGGATCCAGTATGGAGCGGCCAAGGTAGGTCTCGGGGTGGCGGACGGAGCCCTCGAGCTGGCGCAGAAGATCATGCAATCTCAACTGTTCCACGACCTGACCCAGGCCTTGAACCATGCCTGCGAAGCGGTCGAAACAATCAAGCGGCAAGTGGACAACGCCATCAACGCCGCGCGGGACCACCTCCACAACGCGCAGAAACTGCTGGATGTGGCCAAGTCCGCCGCGCAGGGTAAGTTCGACGAGGCTCGGCGGCAGGCGCGCGAGATGGTCGACACCGCGCAGAAGATCCACGACGACTACGTGCAGAAGCAGGAAGTAGAGTCGAAGAAACTCCGCATTCAGCTGCAGCAGCTGAAAAACAGTAGCCTGAGCGCGGGGGTGTCGTTCGCCGAGGGGGTGCTGGAGGCTGCGAAGAACAACAACGCGGCCTTCCTCGCGGCGCAGGCTGGGCTCGATGCCGTCAAGGTCGTGGAGGGCGCCATCTACGACACGCTGCGCACGATGATCGAGGCGGCAGCGACCCTGTGCGATATCCGCGTCGTCAAGCTCCGGGGCACCATCACTGCCAAACCGGAGGAGCAGTCCGCCTTCCAGATCTACTTGGAGGGAACGCTGGTCGGCCAAGATTTCGAGTTCGATCTTGTATATTACCCGGGCAAGACAATCGAGTTCTTGGAAGGGCTGGCCAAGGAGGCGATGGGGCACCTGAAGCTGACTTAGGGCTGGGGCGGAAGCGGGGACTGCGCAGAACCTGTTTTGTTACCATCATGTACAGCAATTTGTAAATCAGTACGGCAATAGGATGTATTATCACCTTATCTCGGGGTTTCTCAGAAACCGTTATATAGTTAAGGTTAGTGTTTGATTTCACTTAGAACATAAATACTTAACCTGACACTGGTCGTGAAACAGTAAAGCATCCTTGTCTGCAAGTCGCCCCAATGGTATCGACCCGCCTTCCAGCTGGATTGAAGTTCTACCCCGAGGGGCCAGTAGTTGATTGAATAACCACCAGTAAATCCCTTCTATTGTATGCTTTTTCCCTCAACACTGGCAATTGTTCTCTTCCATGATCATCATGATCATCATCATTATCTAATACTTGATTACGTGTTGCGTCGCAAGATACAAAATCCGACCTTGTGATTGAATCATGGCAAAAGTCGCTCAGCCACGTATGCACCATCAGCTAGGATACTAGGATACTTTGGGGTATATTGTAATACATAAACGACCAGCAATCTACCTCTTTTGTATCTCCTGCTTCTCCGCCCATGCCAGGTCAATCTCACGCTCGGCCTCGTAGCCATAACACCACATCTGCGTGGCCGGATCACTCCATTGATTAGGGCTATGACTGAAAGGCAGACCATCCACTTCCGCTGCCATGGCCCGATCGCGTGCCTCCTGCAAGGGCCCATCTGCAAAATGCCACAGCTTGCCGTTCAACAAGCTGGCCTCTTGCATCTGGCTCGTCCGTACCATCCGTACTTTCTCGAAAATGGCCAATGCCTCGGTTAGATCGTCTGGCGACTGCATGTAGGACAGGGAGCGCGCCAACGCCACGCCATCCTCAACGGCCATCGCGGCACCTTGAGTTACAAGTCAATGCGATTCACTTCCATTGGCGAGTGCACACTTACCCTGCGACATGTACGGAAGCATTGCATGAGCCGCGTCACCCAGCATGACCAACCTGCCCTTAGTCCAGCGATTGAGCAGGGTCCCGCTTACTAGCGGCCATTTGATGGTTCTCTCCACCATCCCGATGATCTTCGTGAGCCTAGAAGGATTGTATTGATTAGAAGGGGAAAGGTCTGCAAAATAATGAGAGGACTCACGTGGGGTCCCATCCCTGAAACTCAGTCCGCATGCTCTTCAGGGCCGTTACCGCGTCCCACGTAGCCGGATCGGAGGAATCTGGATGCGACAGCACCATATTGAATGCCTTGCCCGCCCCAATCGTGTAGGTCATGACGTGTCGAGAGTCGCCAATCCTGCAAAGGTGAGCAACGGGGCATTCGGAGTTTTTAGTCAGAGGTACTTGGAGTAGACCACCGTACCAAATATTCAATGCAGGCTTTTCTAAGATCCATGACAACTCAGAATCATCGCGCATGCGGTCTACACCCACGACCGCCCGATACGCAGCGAAGCCGGGCTTCCGGAAGACCATCTCCTCGCCGTTGAGCAGTACCCTGCGGGCTACTGACTTTATCCCTGCCAGGCGATAAGCTTTGTGCCTCAAATGGCTCAGTAACAAGGAGAGAGTGGTACAAACCATCCGCTGCGACGACCAGGTCGCCCGTGTGCCTCGTGCCATCTTTCAGGGTAATGCTTCCCAGCTCCGGATCGTAATCGACGACGACCGCCCCGAGGTTGATTTCAATCCCCAGATCCTTTGCCCTCTGGCACAGGGCAGAGTGGAAGTCCGCGCGATGGATCACGTAATAGGGCGCTCCAAAGATGTCAATAAAGTCCGGAAGCAGCCGCGTCTTCCCAATCACCTTCCCGGTCTGCCATCGACGGAAGGCGATATTCTCGGGGGCTGTGACGTACGGCTTCAGGTAGGGCTCAAGCCCGAGCCTGAACAGGATGCGAGAGGAGTTCGAGGGGATCTGGATCCCCGCACCAACTTCCCCGAGCACGGGCGTCTGCTCGTACACGGTAACCTGGTGGCCGGCCTGCGTGAGTGCAATCGCGGTGGCGAGCCCTCCTAGACCCGCCCCAACCAGTAGAATGTTCAGTTTCGGCGGCGCGCGCTGGGCTGTGGACAGAGTGGGAACTGAGCCTTCCAGCGCCTTCGCAAAATAGAGACAGTTACTGGGGTATGTTGGCATCTGTTCATCGGTCAGTTTTACTTTGCCTTTGAGTTCGATGGGGTGCTTTGCACGGACCATGAGGGCTTGATGGGGGAGCGCTGCTCCGGGTCCCTCTTGCGAGTCCATTGTCCGAGTTCCAAAGAAGCCGTGGTGACGAGTCCATAGCAGTGTTCCTCAAACAATGATCCCTGTGCTAGAGTGCCACTCGAATCTTGCCTTATATAATGGTTGCAGTCATTGGTCGAAGGCATCCCGGCTCGATGCCGACCCGTCGTTTCCCCGACAATGCCACGATCCGGCGTATACCCGGACACTCCGTTCTCATGCACCCGACCATAAAGTCTGGGTTGAGCACAGCAATTTTGTGGACTTGCTATCATACATAAGCACGTCACCTGTGACACGCCCAGCAGCTGTATATGAGCACAGCTTGATTGTCTGATTTTTATCGAGTTCATCTACCCTCTTGCCTTGGATCTCTATCGCAATGGCGCCTTCCGTCAGCGACATGCCCTCTTCAAGCGCGGATAGCGCAGCACAACTGCTGCAGGATCTCGAAACCAGCCAGACGCTACTGCCTCTTTGGACGCAGATGACAAGACTTAACCCACCGGAGCCGAACCCCACTGCCGTTCCCTATTTATGGAAATATGACACCATCCGCCCCTGTCTGCTGCGAGCCGGGCATCTGGTCACAGAGAAGCAGGCGGAGAGAAGAGTGCTGATGCTGGTCAACCCCGCTCGAGGTGGGTCTTCCGTTAGCTTTTTCAAGGCCGTCATTGAGCGCAGTTAACAATCCTACTAGATGCACCCTACACAACCGACACCCTCTACGCAGGCCTGCAACTGGTCATGCCGAACGAGACGGCCCCCGCGCACCGCCACACCGCCTTCGCGATGCGCTACATCATCGAGGGCAGCGGCGGCTTTACCGCGGTGCACGGTCGGCGCATCCGCATGCAGAAGGGCGACGTGATCCTGACGCCGACGTGGAACTACCACGACCATGGCAAGGACGGCAGCGGCCCGATGATCTGGCTGGATGGGCTGGATCTGCCGAATTTCCGACACTTCCCCGTCCACTTCGTCGAGCACTTCTGCGAGCCGCGGTACCCCGCCGAGGATGTGGACACGTCGACCTCGCCCATCGTCTTTCCTTGGAGCCAGATGAAGGCCCGGTTGGACGGCTTGGAGGGCAGCTGGGCTACGCAGCGCTATTTGAAAGTCGATGGTCGAGAAGGTGAGTCTCCTCTGGGCGATAGGACTTTTTTGTTTCCACGGTGGGCTAACTGGGGATGGGATGATGTAGTGAGTCGGGTCCTGGGCGGGTGTGCGGAGAGGCTGGCCGCGGAGGCGGCGTCCCCGCGCCGGCAAGACACCTTATCCGCCGTGTACCATGTTATTTCCGGCAAGGGTCGCTCGGAGATTGGCAGCCAGACGCTGGAGTGGCAGGCAGGCGACACCTTCTGCGTCCCCTCCTGGTATCCTTACCGGCACTTTGCGGATGCCGGGGAGACCGTCTATCTCTACCGGTTCGACGATAAGCCAATGATCACGGCGCTGGGATTCTATCGGTCGGCGTCTGATGATACAGAGACGTTGATCTCGGACTGAGATATAGCATCGAGGGTGATTATCACTTGCAGAAGGAATCTGAATATGGCTTGATGGGCTTGATTAATGTTGCCATATACTTTGTCACAGTTGGGTACATATCATGTGGACCAATGAATGTGTCTGATTTCATATATAGAGGTGAATAGTGAATCGCAATCTGAATTGATCCATGATAACTTAGGACTGCTATAAACTAGGGTCCAGGACTTTGATCCTCCTCCAAAGGTATTCTTATGGGCTTTTATGGCATAATTGGGCATGGTTATATTGGTTGACATTAGGGTTATATGTAAGGAAACGGGAACAGTCGAAACCTCAGGCACCCATAGATCTACGTAAAGACTAACTAGAGTCACCTGACTCAAATGTATTCCGGACTTTCCCCGCGTGCCGGGTAACTACCCGGACAACCCGCAAATGCCCCGCCCAAGCGACTTCCCCGCGACTTCCCCTTCTTGCCTCAATCCCCAATCCCCCATCTCCCGCTCCCCCGTATCAATCACCATCCGCAGCAAGTCCCGATAGAGACAGTTGCAGCAATACGAAGCTACTAGGCTCCGGATATCATTGATCACTTATGGAGCTACCGGTCGATAAGCCCACCTCCCATGGGCCCGCGAGCAAGCGTCGCCGCGTAGCTCTGGCCTGCGATGTTTGTCGCACTCGAAAGTCTAGGGTAGGCATATGATGACCATGACCGCCACGCATTCCCAGTCGAGCCGTTCCACTAAGCAACCACGGGCCTAGTGCGATGGCATGCGGCCCCACTGTAGCATGTGTAAGGATCTCGGCTTTGAATGTGTCTATACTCCGTCAGTCACTACCACCAATATCATCGTGCAAAAAGAGTAAGTACAGATACCCCATCATCGCCGCATGTCGCGCCTACGCTGATTCGCTTCAAGCTATCTTCAAGACCTTGAGGCCCGGATCAAGTCCCTCGAGAACAGCCATCACAGGATGCAGTCAGACCTGTCCGGATTGGTGGCGCACAGGACCACGAGGAAGAGAAGCCACCCGAGCGACAGTGAACCCGAGTCTAGTCATGAGCCGCTGGCGGATCTGACCGGGCCCGAGGATCCGATTGACGCCATGGGCGCAGTGTCCTTCGCCGATGAGGAGGAGTGCGGGTACTTCGGTGCAGCGACCCGTCCCCTCTCCCTCCACCCAGAGAACGGGCTAATGAAAGCCCATTGCAGGTCCCTCGTCGAACATCGCATTTCTGCGGCACCTGTCCCGGGCAGTGTCTCATAGTAGAGGCGACCGTCAAGCAGAGATCAATTCGCCTGCGATGCATGGAACAGGTGACAACGGCGGCTTCGTCAGTGCCACCCGGCAGCCGTCCCCGATGACCGGCAGCCACACGGCGACGCCAGTGCGATCTCGGCCTACGACAAATCCCCTCTTACTACCATCCGACGAGATCATACCCCTGATCTGTCGATACTTCGCCGACACCGGACTGTTGTTTCCTTACATCTATCCGCCGGCCTTTCTCGAGACCTATCACCAATTCAAGAGCAAGGCCAAGAAGCCCCGCCGCACCTGGCTCGGCTTGTTGAACATCGTGCTGGCCATGGCCACGCTCACGGCGGTCTCCCCTGGGTTCTCGGCCGAGACTCGCATCCAAGAGTCCACCGTCTACTATCAGCAGGCTCTTCGGTTATGCCAGGGCGAGATCATGCGGGGGACGACTTTGGAGGCCGGTAGGTCCTCGCGCGTGTGATTTCCCCGAACGCTAATATTGATCTTGTCCGCAGTACAGTTCCTCCTGCTCATGGGGCAATACCTGCAAGGGACGCAAAAGTCCGTCCAGGCGTGGACGCTGCACGGACTCGCCGTCAAGGCTGCGCTGCAACTCGGCCTGCATTCGAAAGAAGCCTCCAAGGCGTTTCTCCCACTCGAGCGCGACACCCGCCAGAGGACGTGGTTTGGGTGTGTAGTGTTGGACCGGTGAGCAGCTCTGTCTTGCTTGGAACCCTCGGCGTTTGTGACGGTTGACTGACGCCCAGCCAGAACGTTAAGTATGACCTTCGGACGGCCGCCGGCGATCCCCGATAAGTATGTCCAGCTGGACCTTCCTCAACTTGATATTCTCGGCGACTGCCAAGCATTCGTCGACGATGAGACTCTCCGCTGCAGTACCGGGTTCTTCAATCACACGATGTAGGCTGCTCCCCTTTCCCCTTGCCCGACGGCTCGCATCGCTAACTGACTAGCACGTTGTACAAGCATATGGGCACCATCATCGACCAGATCTACGGCGCCAATCTGGGCTGTGAGCCCAGCTTGCCCGTAGTGGAGACGGTGGGCCGGGTGCTGTCGATCGAAAATCAGCTGCTCTCCTGGGTCACCACCCTACCTGACAGCCTTCGTCAAGTAACGCTGCAGGCCCTATGCGGGGAGATTGCGCGAGTGCAACCGCAGCCACAGCTGTACCCCCTGAAATTTCGCGTAATTCTCACTCTACGGTACCTGCACGTCCAGATCCTGCTGCATCGGCCGATTCTGGTCCGATTCCTCGACGCCATCCACACAGCTGGTCTGGAGCCCGGCGAGGAGCGGATCCTGAACGAGATCGGCTACAGTAGCATGAAGAAGTGCGTCGAGTCGGGAATGGAGATCATCAACATCATTCATGAGGTGGTCACTGCGACTGGGTGGGCCCTCGACCTGCTGGGAGCGTGGTGGTACTCTCTCTACTACAGTAAGTCGTCCTCCTTTGCATATTTCGCGGCTTGCTGGGGTCTCACCATTATCGCTTGTGTTTGAACAGCGTTCAATGCGGCACTAGTGATTACGGGGGCTATCTGGATCCAGCGCGCGCGGGAGTCCCCGCCAAACCCGCAGATGTACCGGCTGGCCAACATCGAGAACCTCGAGCTTTACCCCGCCCGTGCCGTTGCGATCCTGCGTCATTTGGACACGGGCAATCGGATGGTGGACCGCTGTCGGTATTACCTCGAGCAGTTGATCTCGATTCTTGGTATACAGTGTAAGACTTACTTCTTCTTCTTCTTCTGTCTTCCGTTCTTTTCTTTTCTTTTCTGTCCTCGATCTTCTTGGACAGCATAGGAACGGTGATACTGACAAGATGCTACAGCGGACGCTCCCGCTCGCACAGTCCCCGTTGACCATAATCTGTCCGCGATGAGCAGCGCCAACAATGACTTTGACTACTCGTCGCTGGGCATCGAGTGTGGCGAATACATGTTGGATGAGCTGTTTGTGACTATGGCCCGGCAGGCACCATCGGAGAGTTGGTAGTTTGCAGCCTCCGTCTGTATCTCCATCATCATCGACATTAAAAGTAAGTAGACACAACAATCTGGGTGCCATGCATTCCGCCCCCCACGCTTCGCAGATCCAACACAGATGTCCAATGAGCTACGTGATATGTACATATGTGCGGACCATCCGACGTCTCTGAACACCACATCAGGAATTGCATATGCGCCGGTGGAATCTGTAAAGCTACACAGCCAGTGGGCCAAGGTCCCTTCGATCCACCCAGCTCCCATGCAAACCCTGGCGTAAGCGGACCGGCAGCAGGATCTTGGCCTGCGCGCGCGTGAAATCCCGGGTGTCCAATAGATGGAGCTCGCTTGCCATGGTCTCGTAGTTATTCACGAGGGCCAGAAGATACCCGTCGCCTTCGGGGGCCGAGTCCCCGCGCGGGATAAAGACCGGCTCCTGGACCAGGTGCGTACGGCCCGGAAAGTAGATCTCAGTCTGCCCGGCCACGATATCGAAGTGCGCCAGCGCGTTGTAGAGGGGGAAGCCGCCGCCCAGCTTCGGCGCGATGGAGGCGAAATCCGTCCCCAGCTGCGGGTCCATCAGGTCGAAGTAGCAGTGGCGATAGGGCTGGGTCGCGAACCGCTCGTCGATGCGGTAGAACTCCGAGTTGCCCTGGTGCAGGATCCGGGGTTCCGGGAGGCTGAGGTCTTCTTCTGCGTGGGGGTCGACGGTGAACCGGACCAGTCGGGAGACGATGGAGCTGGGCTCCGGGGCGCGACCCTGCGCGTCGGGCCACCAGAAGAACACATTTGTCTCGCTCAGGCCCAAGTCGATCACCAGATGGCCCTGTTCGTCCTCGTACGCGTTGGCCGTGTGGCCGGGGAAGGAGTTCTTGTATCGGAACCACTGTCGCAGGCTTAGCATTCCCCAGCACATCGATAGAGGCAGTGTGGGGGGTGAGGGGGGGAGGGACAAGGAGAGACTGTCCGCCCTACCTTCACGTCACTGGGCCGGGCCCCTCGCCGCGGCAACACGCCCAAATACAGCGGAGTCTCCGGGCTCCACTGCCAGTGCTCGCCTCCCTGCTTCATCCGCTCGATATCGCAAACCTGCGGAATCAGCGGGAACACGACCTGCACAATCCATCAGATTCGATACCACCACACCCTCTTTTCCCCCATTGGGAGAAAAATACTCACCCAGTTGTCTGTTACCGCAAAATCGTGGATCATCGCCAGCACCGGTGCCACCAACCAGACCACCTCGGTGAATTCGCCGGTCGGCGCGACGCGGTAGTAGCAGACATCCGGCGTCCCGTCGCCGCGCGCCTCGTACCCGAAGCAGAGCATCTCGCCCGTGGCGGGGTCAAATTTCGGATGCGCTGTGAAGGTCAGACTCGGCAACTGGCCGTCAAAGTCGTAGAGGCCTTGCGTCTCCAGCGTGCGCGGGTCCATCGCGTACGGCGGAGAGTCCTCCTTCAGGGCCAGCAGCCGCCCGTTGAAGAAGACCACGTTGGTGTTGGCTGTGCTGCGCACACGGAACTCGACGGCGTCGGTGAATCTGTTGCGGTACTTACCTGGAGAGAGTGTCAACTGGCCCTGTCGTCGATTTACTTTTGACTTTGGGCGATGAACTGACCGATTAAAGCGCGTTGCGCCTCGTGCTCGCGCACAAACTTCTCCGTCCGCACGTAGCGTTGCCGGAACGATGCGCGGCCGTGTTGGATGCGGAAGGCGCTCACGTTCCCGTCGCCGTTGAACCACTGCAGTGCCGTTCTTCAGCTCTTCGCCTTGCCAGACTACGAGGGAGCAGCTGAGGGGGTGGGGATGGGCTGTCCTTACGGGATCATCCTCGACGAAGGGAGGCTGTTGCGGATCCGGCATGACGCGATAGAAGACTCCGTCAATCTCCGGGGGGATCGTGCCGTACACTTCCAGTTGGGAGACCTCGCCTTCCATCCGGCAGGGCTTCATGAAGCCTGAGAATTGGGGGCGATCGGGGAAGTGTTGTTTGATGTCGGACATGGTGAGATGCAGCGAAAGAGATGAATGATTTGTCAAGGTGATTGTTCGTTGCTCCTGGTAAAAAAACAAAAATAAGAAAAAAGGGAGAGACAGAGAGAGAAAAGAAAAGAGTTGCCAAGCTACCAAGTGAGAAGCTTCCTTGCAAATGTAATTTCATGTAAATTGCAATTGGAAAGACAGTCTAGTTACTGACCTTCGTTTTATCTCTCGGCTCGCAAGACGCGGTCGTCTTCCGGGTTCCCCGGGCTGCTTCCGCTCTCTCCCCGGTGTATCCCCACCCACCCGCCTACTTGGGGCAGGTATACGTAGATAGGTACTTACCTGCACACATTCCCCCTCAGCTTGGAAACCTTTTTTCTACCACCTGCATCTATTTGTGAAGAAGACACTTATCATTCCACTCGCTCCCTCTCTCCCTGTGCTCAAAATGTCACTTCCCTGGAAACGCCTGATCCGCTTCCGCGCTCGCGACGGGCGCATCCTGCGCGGCGAGCCCATCCTTCCCGCCGAGCGCCAAATCGACCTGGGACGGATCACCGAAGCCGATCAGCTGCAAGCCCGAGTCCTCGAGGGCCAGGACATCTTCGATACCACGGGGGAGACCAAGGTAACGGACGAGATCGCCACGGTTCAACAGATCCTCTCGCCGCTGGCGCCCAGCGACGTCCCGATTCTCCGGTGCGTGGGCCTCAACTACGCCAAGCACAGTACGTTACTCACTTCCAATCGTCTAATTGCCTTTTTACGCTATCAGAGAATAACATGGAGCCACTTCTTATCAACAGTCAGAGAAGCAGGACGCAAGCCCCCACCCTTCCCCTTCATCTTCTTCAAGCCGAACACGTGTGTACACGACCACGGCGAGCCAGTCGTGATCCCGCCTATCGCCCAGAACGACCAAGCAGACTACGAGGGCGAGTTGGTTGGTAGTTCCCAGTCCCCACCGTTGTTTTCATCCTCAGGTTGTGTAGTGTAATGGTTAGCACCCAGGATTCTGATTCCTGTAATCCCGGTTCGATCCCGGGCACGACCTTTTTTTTCTCTTCGTTTTTTCCCCCTCTTATTCCATCATAGATCATGATCAAGTCTAACCACCGCACCACAGTGTCTAATCATCGGTAAAGACGCGAAAAACGTGCCTCGGGAGCGCGCTCTCGAGTATATAGCCGCATACACCGCAGGGAATGACATCTCGTCGCGGAAGCTGCAGCGCGATCCGGCGTACGCTGGCGTCGTGCCGCAGTGGGGATTCTCGAAGGGATTCGACACGTTTGCGCCGCTGGGCCCGGTGCTGGTCGCGGCGTCGGAGATTCCCGACCCGGCGCGGCTGCATCTGAAGACGGTTGTCGATGGGGAGGTGCGCCAGGATGAGACCGTCGGTGATTTACTCTTTGACTGCGCGTATTTGGTCTCGTATCTGTCGCAGGGCACGACGCTGCAGAAGGGGAGCGTGATTATGACGGGGACGCCGGGTGGTGAGTCTTCGCTTTTTTTTTTTTTTTTTTTTTTTTTTCTTGGCTGTTGGGTTTGGCGTAGATGGTATCGCTGACCACGAGATCTCTAGGTGTGGGCGCCGGGCTCAATCCGCCGAAGTGGCTGGTGCCGGGGACGCAGATGGAGGTGCAGATTTCGCAGATTGGGACTTTGCGGAATACCGTTGTTTTCGAATGAGGCTGAGGAGACAGGATTCGGGTACCGGCACTGCAATATCAGTTCCGATAGAGTACCTCATATGTTATGGTGGTCAGATAGAGTACCGTGTACCACCATTATCACACTGCCTCACTAGGCTATTGGCTGTCCTTCATCGGAGATGTGGCATACCCCACGCTCACCATAAGGTAGAATGGGTCTGGGGAAGTGTCGGGAATCGAGCTTTCCCCGGACTTGGGGCCAGCTGTATTGCGAGGCAAAGGTGACTCCTGACTCCCCTTTCATATCTGTTGTCGCCCCCCACTGACATTTCATAATCACCCGCATCTACTCTACTCTACCATCCCTTATGTCATAGCTTGATCCATAGCCATCGTATCGGGTTTCTGTTCATCCTCATCAGCATGCATCCTCTCCTTCCCGTGCCGACCCAGGATCCGCACGATCCCTTACGCTGGCCCGTTTGGCTGAAAGAAGACAGACGGCGTCGAGGAGATATCCATCGAGAATGCGCCCCCAGAGGCAGCAGGGAGCAATACGTACACCGCGCACTGCCCCTCTCCCCAGGAGATTCTCGCCCCGATCCGCGTGGATCGCGAGCTGAATCTCTTCCGGGCTACGGTCACGCCCCTGCGCCTGATCGTGCGGCCCGCGGTGGTCTGGGTGATCTTCCTCTACGGGTGCGCCCTCAGCCCGCAGATCACCCTCATGTACGTAAACCCTTCAAGTTCCCTGCCATATCTATCTATCCTAACAGCAAACCCTACTGCCAGTTTCACCATGTCTACCCTCCTCCAAGCGCCGCCATACCTCTTCTCCGCCGTCTCCATCGGCCTAATGCAGCCCGCAGCGCTGGTCGGCTTCGGGCTGGTCTCCTTCGGGTCCGTGTTCACGCCCAACTTCGCCCTGGCCTACCTGACGCACCAGCACCAGCGCGAGGCGGCGCAATGTCTGGTTCTGGTGAACGTGGTCAAGAACCTCGTCGCGTTTCTGTTTCTGTACGAGGCCGTGGTCTGGGTGCAGGGCCGGGGCTACCTGGAGGTGTATCTGGTCATGCGTGCCCTCGGCGTGGTCACGGTCGCGGGCGCGCTGCCGCTTTATCTTTATGAGAGGCGGCGGGTGGAGTCAGAAGCAGAGCTTAGGAAGTCAGGATTTTCTTTTCGTGGTTTATGTTTTACTATTTAAGAGAAGGGTGGTTGTTCGGTCTACTTTGGCAAGCACAAAGTTCTACGCCCAGCAACATTTCATCTCCTGGCCGATTTTGCTGCCACGGCGGTCAGTCGGGGCTGTTGCATTCAGACTCCAGATGATCGGTTGGGTGCTGCCGGATCCCGCATAAAGCCAGGAGGCTTGATTTTGAGGACATGCCATTCACCTTCTAGGATTCCATGCTTCTCCGCTGTCTCGCATCTGCATTATGTCAACTCTACAAAGCAAACTGTGTACTTCTAGAAAAGCATTGGATGGGCGACCAGCTGGATGGGTTGGCGAGCTATGTCAGAGCTGTTATGCAGCACAGCTGACATGAGGCTGCGGAGGGCTCGTATCGATAACGAGGCGTGGGTACATACAGACAGTATCCCGCGTGGCAGACCATTTCAGCATTTCAGCCTCGAAGTGTGCGATAGAGGTGCTATGCCTTTGATATAGAACACATCGTCAGACGCTCAACTGTCGACTTGCCGTGTCATTACCTTGTGTTCTTGTCGCTGTGATTGGTGCATTTGACCTATGGTACGAACACTGCACGTACATGTGATGAGATTGCGTGGTACCTCACTATTGGTGGAACACCACCAACCACAATTATATATCAAGAGCGCAAGCCACGACTTATCTTGATCTCAACACCCCACAGTGCATTGTGCACACGAGATAGCCGTCAATCCAGGCTCGAGCGATCATCTTAACACCAGTTTGAAATGAAGGTCAATTTCAGATACCATTCAAATGATGAATAAATGCGACTCCGGAACGGTTGACTGATTCCATCATGAAAACATAGAATGCAAGGTAAGCTTAGAGCAATGTATTTTTCTGATTATCCATACAAGAGCGAAACTGTACGCGCCGAGTCCTCGCCAACTCACACCAGCCAATCAAATAGCCAAGCAACTAGGACATGCAAGGCTATCTCCGTGCAACCTCCGTGCAGAATCCCGCGTCGCCGTCAACTGCCGGCGAGGGAGGTGATACCCCGCTTTTCGCCCTCGAATCTTTTTCTCGCAGATGAAGACAATCAACTACGGCCTACGAGCACTCCCACTCCACCAGCATACTACACCCTCAGAGACAACAGCACGGGAGACACCCACCAACAAAATGACTCTCCCCGAACCGATCACGACCGCCGCCCTCGTCCTCCACGAGCTCCACGGCCCGCTTGTCTGGGAAACCCTGCAGATCCCCACCCTCGCGCCCGACGAGATCGCCGTCGACATTCACGCGACGGGCATCTGCCACACGGATCTGATGCTCATGAGCGGCGAACTGCCCACTCGCCAGCCGGGCGTCTTCGGGCACGAAGGTATCCCCCACTCCCGGTTCGAATGAACCTACCCTTCCCCCCTGCCCCAAACTCACCGACTCACCCTTCCAAAACCCACCACTGACCCCTTCCGCCCCCTTGGAAAACCGCAGGAGCAGGAACAGTCCGCCAAACCGGCGCAGCCATCACGCACGTCCGCCCCGGCGACCGCGTGCTCCTCTCCTTCGACTTCTGCGCGCACTGCGCAAACTGCACGGCCAAGCACCCGGCCTACTGCGCCGCGTTCCCGCTGCTCAACACGGCCGGCCACCGCGCCGACGGCTCCTCGCCCTTGCAGACCGCCGGCGGCGGGGCGGTCTACTCCAAGTTCTTCGGGCAGTCGTGCTTCAGCCGCGTCGCGGTTGTGGGGGGGCGCTGTGCGATTCCGGTTTCCCACGACTTGGATCTACGGGTGTTGGCGCCGCTGGGGTGCGGGATGCAGACTGGGGCGGGGGCGGTGGTGAATGTCCTCGGCTTGCAACGGGGGCAGAGCGTTGCGGTGTTTGGGACGGGGGCTGTGGGAATGGCTGCTGTTATGGCGGCGAGGATTATGGGCGCGGAGGTGATTGTTGCGGTGGATGTGAGGGAGGAGCGGTTGCGGTTGGCCAGGGAGCTGGGGGCAACGCATACGGTTGATGCTGCGCTGGGGGAGGGGGTGGTCGGGGCGATTCAGGCGGTGACCGGGGGCCTGGGCGTGCAATTTGCGGTCGAGTGCTCGGGCGTGCCGCCGGTTGTGCCGCTGATGCTGGCGGCGCTGCGGCCGCGCGGCCGCGCGGTCTCGGTGGGCGCGGCGGGCATCACGGAGGAGGTGCGCTTCAATTTGTTTGCGCATCTGATGGGCGGGAAGGAGTATGTCGGTTGTGTGGAGGGGGATGTCTATCCGCCGGAGGTAGGTGCTCTGTGTTGGTGCAAAAGGGGATCAGGCTGACGGTGTAGTTCGTGCCATGGCTGGTGGAGCGGTATTCCCGCGGCGAATTCCCCGTCGAGAAGCTGGTCAGGGTGTACAAGGTCCGGGATTACGAGGAGGCGTTTGCGGATGTTCGTGGGGGGAAGGTGATTAAGGCGGTGCTGGATTGGACGGAGTAGGCTTGTGTATCGCGAGGATGGTCATTTGCGTTGAGTCGAGTAATCGATCCCCCCCCAGTGAAGGGGTAAATGTTGGGAAGTGTTGCAGTGTGACAGTTGAGTCGGGATTCTGCGCAGGTGGCATGATTCGGATGACACCGACGGGATTTGATGATGATACGAGGGGAGGTCTGATAGACGCGGCGGTGATTAGTGATTATGTATGCTGCTACTGCCCGTAAGATGGTAACTTACTCCGCAGCTTACAGCCCAGCCCTAAGAAGTCCAGGAATAATACTTCCGTGAATTCCCGGCCGGGCACAACGGCCCCGTTGCCTCACTGCGGGCCGGGATTTGAGTCTAATCGCTTGAAGAACCCAGGAAACCGCCGCAGTGGAGTCGACTGCGGGGCCATCCTCACTCTGCAGATCGTCACATCGTCTTTCATCTACCAACTACTAATCATTCCCCTTCGAGAACCCGTCGATGCGCCGCGCCCGACGGGCTCGTTTCATCCACTCACGCCCCCACTGCTTCTCCGCACCACCAAACCCCGGGTCATGGCACGATATCGCGATTGATACTGACACCGCGTTGTATACTCCTCACGCATGCTGCTATCGGCAGAGCCCGATTCCGCGTGAGCCGGATGGAGTGAGGATGACGGACATTGTCGAGATGAGTCGGTCGGATTAAGATGCAGTGCCCTGCGAGAGTATAAGAAGGCCGTTGTGCCACCCTGTATCCCCATCATCACCAGCATCAAGCATCTCAACAATTCAAGCAAAGAATCTACTCCTCGCATCAACCTCTTTACCACCACAATGGCCCCCGTTCTCAAGAAGTACAAGGCTGCCGCCGTCAACGCCGAGCCCGGCTGGTTCAACCTGGAGGAGTCCACGCGCCGGACCATCCACTGGATCAACGAGGCCGGCAAGGCAGGCTGCAAGTTCATCGCCTTCCCCGAGCTCTGTCCGTCCTCCCTCCCCAACCCCCAACCCCCAACCCCACCGCAACCCACTAACCACTGCAAAAATCAGGGATCCCCGGCTACCCTTACTGGATGTGGAAGGTGACCTACCAAGAGAGCCTGCCGCTGCTGAAGAAGTACCGGGAGAACAGCCTGGCGTCGGACTCGGAGGAGATGCGGCGGATCCGCGAAGCCGCGCGGGCCAACAAGATCTTCGTCTCGCTGGGCTACTCGGAGCTGGACCTGGCCAGCCTGTACACGACGCAGGTGATGATCTCGCCCGCCGGGGAGATCATCAACCACCGCCGCAAGATCCGCGCCACCCACGTCGAGCGCCTGGTCTTCGGCGACGGCACCGGCGACACCACCGAGTCTGTCATGCAGACCGAGATCGGCCGCCTGGGCCACCTCAACTGCTGGGAGAACATGAACCCCTTCATGAAGGCGTACGCCGCCTCGCTCGGCGAGCAGGTCCACGTCGCCGCCTGGCCGCTCTACCCCGGCCGCGAGACCCTTAAATATCCCGACCCGGCCACCAACATCGCCGAGTCCAACTGTGATGTACGTCCCTCGTCAATCGCTCCCCAGGACAGTCCCCAGGTTCAGTACAGTCGTGGGATATTCATGCTGATCAGATGGCCCAGATCGTCACCCCCGCCTACGCCATCGAGACCGGCACCTACACGCTCGCCCCCTGGCAGACCATCACCGCCGAGGGCGTCAAGCTCAACACGCCCCCGGGCAAGGAGCTCGACGACCCCAAGATCTACAACGGCCACGGCCGCATCTTCGGTCCCGACGGCCAGAACCTCGTGCCCCACCCGAGCACCGACTTCGAGGGTCTGCTGTTCGTCGATGTATGTATCACTTGCTTGCATGCTGGTTATAGAAAAGGGTTCCGGACTGACTGAAGATGCAGATCGACCTCGACGAGTGCCACCTGTCCAAGTCCCTGGCTGACTTTGTAAGTTTCGGTGCCCCTGATTAATAGACCCCGGTGCGCAGGGCTAATCGATTGCTAGGGCGGCCATTACATGCGCCCTGACCTGATCCGCCTGCTGGTGGACACCAACCGCAAGGACCTGGTCGTGCGCGAGGACCGTGTCAACGGTGGGGTCGAGTACACCCGCACCGTCGATCGGGTGGGCTTGTCCACCCCGCTGGATGCCCCTGCTCCTGCTGAGGAGAACTAAGGAGAGCTAAGCCGGCTTAGACGAATCTCCACTCTGTATTATACTGATTAGAAATTGATTGTTTTTGTTGTTGTTCCATCGATCTGATTTTTATTATGGCTTTGTGTGATTGACCCTCTTGACTGCAAGGGGGGTACCTACCGCTGGACTACCGACACCTGAGGCATCAAGACACGAGAACAAAACCTCCCCCCCCCCAAAACAACACACTCCTCAAAAACACCCCCTATCTGTCGACAGTACCCATGAAACACAAGACAACTAATCGACTGACTATTATATGCCGTGACCTTGGGCGACCCTCCGCCATCGTCCACCGGCTGCGTCACGGCAAACACATCCCGCCCGACCGCCCTCTGCCGGTTGATCGCTTGCACCACGCTGAGGGTCTGGTACACAGGGAACGCGCCTTCCTCGGTCGGCTGCAAATCTAATAGCGTCTGCAACCATTGCTCGATCTCCAGCCCGACCGACAGGTTTCGACATCGCAGAATACCCGCCAGAAGCAGGCCTGTGAATCCGATGGTGTAGCTGTTGCGCGTGAGGGAGGTCTGCATGTCGGTCCCTTGGGCGATGCGGACGAGGGTTGGGACCCATACGTCTTCCTCGTGGGGGCGATAGTCAAGGGAGGTTGAGTGTGGGTTATGCAGGAGGGTAAGAAAACCACTGCATTGCATGATGCGCGCTACGACGTAGTATGCGTAGTTCAGTGCTGCACTGTGCGAGGAGAAGTGGATGGTCGGGCTGCCGGTCGGGTCGATAGGGCCGTAGATGGGCTGCTCGGCGGGCGGGAGGTGCGCGCGCCACTCGTCTAGTTTTGCAGCCTGTTGGCGGAGTCGGGAGATACACGTAGCTGGATCATCTCCAGTTCCCAGGGGGCTCATCTGACCCCGGCAATACTGAAGCACAGCATTGAAGTTCAGGCGATGGGACTCGCACATGATGCTCAAAACCAGGACCCGGCGCCCATGCGGGGTGTGTGGTAAATCCTCGACCAGCGAAACGGGCAACGGGACAGACGGCAACTGCTGATGTATCTCTACTGAGCTGAAGTAGGCACGAGCCCACCAGACCACATAACGGATCTGCATCCACGAGGTGAGGAGCGATTTAATCGTGGGGTCTGCGACGCCCTGCCGCCACTCCAGGAGATTCATAATCCCTTGCACGTGGCAGCAGAAGCCCGCGAAATTGCCCATGGCCGATTCCAGGTGGGCGAACAACACCAGCGTCGTGAGGATGACTGTCTTATTGTGGTCAAGATCGACCGAGGTCAACGTAGCGAGTCTCCGAATCGCGGAGGAGTAGTACAGATGACTCGCGTTCTGGTGGGCTAGGCTCGGACTCCACGGGCCCATCACTGCGGTCGTCAATACTTTACGCTCGCCACGGAGACGGCTGATATTGCAGGAAGACAGGGCAAGCACCGCGTCTCTAATGATCGACATGTCGGGGACCAGGAGCGTGGTAGAGTGGAAGACGGGGTGTAAGGCGGGTAGACAGCGGTCCTCCCAATAGGTGGTGTAGAAGATGTCCCGCTCCGTCGTCTGCAGAGATTTGACCAGACTGCCGGTTTCGATCCGGAGTCTCTGCCTAGTTTGAGTGCTGGAGCCCTGGTCACCAGCCAGCTCTTGTGCTGTCGCATTGGGGGATGTTTCACTTGACGAAGGGGATCTCGACCTCTGCCCAGTCACGATCTGGAATCTGAGTCCGGGCTTCACATATTCGCATTCCTTCTCCAGTCTTACGCAGGTCCCACATGCTGGCTTCTGCTCATCACACTGGATTCTCGATTAGTGCTGTCATTCTGGACTGCGGTGGTATGGAAAATCAACCTTTGTTCTGCGCTTGCGACAGCTAGTACAGCCATCGCGCGAGCGTATGATATCGGTCTTCTTTGGCCTAGGCGGTGCAGGCTTGTACATGGGTCATCTGCAAGGCCTTGACTCAATGAAGCAATGATTCTTTGATAGTCGGATGCTGTGACGGGTGAGTCAAGAGTGCGTTGTCAGAAGTGGCAAGGACCAATCACGTGCCTTCCAAAGGTGCTCAACCGAGCCAGACCGCAGTCGGTTGAAGCTAAGCCTAACCTGGCAGCTATCGTTCTACCGGCCTAGTAGTTTATGTTGAATGATTTATGATCTAGCACTGGGCCCATGGATGGCTCGAGACTGCTTCCTGCCAATTGTATCTAAATGTGCATTGCATATGAGGCTCTGTTAAAGGGTGACCTAACGCGTTTCAGATTGTGCCTGATATGAGGCTATATGAACCGATGCGAAGATCCTTGCCGCAAGGATGCTACATTCCAAGCCTGTACATGTACGCCGTATATTATGTGAACTGTACAGATTGAACCCATACATGTATACCCTCTAACATCAACAGAACCTACACTACATCCCCCTTCTTGCTCTCCGCCATCTCCCCCCTCTCGCGCACCAACTCCGCAATCACCCTCCCTGTCTCGCCCTCCAACCAACCCCGCAAAACCCCGAACGACCCCCTCGCGATCCCCCTTCCGCATCTCCTGACTCATCTTGACCTTTCCCCTCCACCTTGCGGATCTCCTCTGGGTGTAGAATTTTGGGGTGACGTAGTGGTGATGGCTTCCTGTAAACAAGACGAGGACTTTTTGGGCCTGCGTGAGGATCTCCGGGGGTTGGTCGTCGTTCTTTGGGGCTGTCTCGAGGAGGGCCTTGACTTGCGGGTTTTGTTTGGCGATGTGCGCGCGCAGACGGGCGGATTCGGCTTGGCTGGGCGGGTCGAGGACGAAGGGGACGTGGGTGCATTGCAGGAAGTCGTGAACCTATCTAAATGATATCTTTATCCATACTCGACTTTCTCTAATGATGACAATGCCAATGTAAGAAGTTGGAGATCGTTCTGGTACACCCGATCCGGTAAATTGTGGACCTACTCTGTGCTAGCATCGCTCTCGCCCACCGGATTGGGTTTAGCGTCTACAGATCCCTTCAATTTGCCATAGATGAAGCGTGTAATCGAAAACCCATCGCCCTGGAGTCGACCATTATTCTCCCGGAGGAATTGAGTCAATCTTCTCCCGGTAGCTGACGCGCAAAGCCTATCACGCACGAACCGCTCTAACCGTAAACGGTGCGCAGGTGCGATGGTGCACCAATAAGGGGAAAATCTTTACATCAGGAGAACCATATAGCACCAGCAAACATGTATATAACCCTCTCAAATTCTTGTCTTGTAACCTGATAAAGAATCTCAGCAAGCTCCAACTCAAAGTTTCAGTCAAGTCAAACCACCAACCAAAATGAGCACTACTACCCCGACACCCCTCCGCATCGCCATCCTCATCAACACACCCCCCGACACCGCCTTCTGGCACGACGTGCGCAAATGCTACCAGGACTCCTTCCTTGCGGTCGCGCCGACGGCTCAGATCGATATGTACGATCCGGTCTTCGAGTGCCGCTTCCCGCGCCCGGCAGACTATGATCTGGTCGTCCTGACGGGGGGCAAAGCGGATGCCTCTTCCTCCGAGCCGTGGGTGCTGGGGGTGTTGGAGTTCCTGCGAACCGCAGCGAAGGAGGCACCCCAGACAAAGATCCTGGGGATCTGCTGGGGTCACCAGGCTCTCTCCCGGGCGCTTGGGGGTGTCGTGCGCGCTGTGCCTTCGGGGCCGATTGTATGTATATGTATCCCTCTTGACTCTTTGTCTGGGGCTGGCAAGTGAGGGCTAATTTTGTGGATATGCTAGGCTGGTCTTGAAGACGTGCGCTTGACGGAAGCAGGCCGGAAGTTCTTCGCGTGTGACGAGAACACTACAAGTTACGTATGTTGCCTGTGCGTCATTCATTCCCTTTGAGCTAAACTGACGCGCCTGGCAGCGGTTACCCGAGTTCCACGTGCGGGAGGTGGCCCAGCCCGGCGACGGGTTTATCCACCTCGCGGAGAACCACGAGATGTTCGTGAACCAGCAGAACACGGTGCTCTCGTTCCAGGCGCATCCGGAGATCGAGGCCGAGATGGCGAAGCAGCTGTTGTTGGAGGAGGATGATGTGTACAACGGGAGACTCTCTCAGCAGGAGCTGGAGGGGCATCTGACTCGGTTGGAGCGGCCGACGGATGGAGTGAGGGTGTTGAAACGGGTTGTGGAGTGGGCGAGGGAGTAGATACAGCCTATTGACTGTTTGGCTGATCCTGTATTCACTGTCATATTATTCACACCGTCAGAAAACACCAGAATCACTTGCAGAATAATGCCCCGACATTACAATGATCAACCCCACCAAATCAAGGCGAATAAACACTCATCTCAAACCCCCCCGTAAACGGCAACGTGACATTCCGAAACCCATTCCCCGGATCCCGCAAAAACGCCAAAAGCTCCCTATAGCCCTCCACCGCGGAGATCGTATTATCCGTCAACACCGCCGCCCCGCGCCGCAGCCGCGGCAGAACCGTCTTGAGCGTGGGCAGCGCCAGCGCACACCATACTATCCACCTGACATTAGCCCCTGATCCCCCATTATCAACCAGACAGAACACCTACTATCCAGAAGCAACACATCCACTACCTCCGGCACGCCCTCCAGCAGGGTAACCAGCAAATCCCCCTCCCGCAGATCAATCACCCGCTCCACCTCCGGGCCACACTGCGCCCAGTACCCGCGCGCGATCGCCGCCTTGCTCGGCTCCTTCTCGGTGGCGATCACCGTGCCGGGCGTGCCCGTGCGGGCGGCGGTCTTGCCCACGGCGAGGGCGAGGTAGATAGTGCTCACGCCAAAGCTGGTGCCCGCCTCGATGACGGTGGTGGCGCCCATGGCGGTGAGGAGCTGGTACACGAACTGGCATTTGTCCGCGTCGAGGGCGATGAACTTGTCCAGCATGAGGCGGTCGAATTCATCCTGCGGGTTCGGGGTGGTTGTTTGGCTGTCGGCGAGGTTGTCTAAAATGTCGGAGGAGACGACCTTGCCTTTCTCCTTTTGGGAGATGGCTGCTTCTTGGTCGAGGGACTTTTTGTGGAGGGTGGAGAGGAGCTGGAGGATGTGGGGTGGGGCGTCGAGGGGGGTGGAGGAGGACATCTTAGAATGGGGTGCTGTTCGAGCGGTTGAGGCAGCTGTTAGTCTAGCAGCATTAAGGGACGGTCAGAAAGCTTGTTAGTATGATGGAGCTTGTTAATGAATTAGTAGTTTGGGTTTGGGGATTTGGGGGTCGACGGAAGTAACAGGAGTGAGGGGCGGGGGTCTCTTGGCATTGGGGGACAGGTAGGCTCAATCTTCCGTAGTGGCACTAGAAATCGCTTGGACTAATGTTGCTCGCAAGAAGGCATTTCCAGCAAGGCAGTAAATAAATCTCAGATTGGTAGGCACAATAAAACAACATGAGGTCGCAAATCTCTGTATATGAATTGTGCTTGGTGCATGGGGAAATGAATCAAAAGGCTTTGCCTTCATGCCTCACTCCAAAGTTTAAGGATCTCACTACCCATTCAGAGACACATGAAAGAAGGCTTGTTGCCTATTAGTAAAGAAATATAACTTAGTACCGCTGTTCTCACCATGTTTGACCTAGATTTATGATCAAGAGGTTGAAGCTGACTAAATGAATGATGGTTGCGTTCTAATGGCTACTAGCCATATTAAAAAGCCACGACTGAATGGACTGAAGCATAGTCGCATGAGAAGAACGAGTCATCGCGCTTTCATCGACGTTGATGCACTATATATTCGGAGCGTCCATATCTACCTTTCTTCCCACGCCGCTGCCTCAGGCACAAGATACTCTCGGGCGCATCCGGACCGAATTGTAACGAATCTTTAAAGTTTGCGTCCTCTGCGGAGATTTTCTTGGAAGGAGATCCCGAATAGGACAAAGCTTGATTGGCATGGTCTGGATCATAGTACTCAGTCAAATGCCTTTCTTACACTTATCTGCCATGTTAACAACTACTTGGAAGTTCCCTTGCCCATTCCAGCACAGGGAGTGTAACCACCGGCAGTATCATCCTGCTTTCTCGAAGAGATAGGAAACAATGCCGCGTCAGTGGCAGCCAACCCACCCAAAGATTCATGCAAGCAACGGGTTTCCGTACCATCTCCTCGGGATTTGCTCTTGCCCCACCTCGACCACTCACACCCAATCAACACCCCAGATTCTCCGATCATACCACTCGCGATCTCGGTAAGGATCCCGAGAATCTCAAAGTTGTTGCAGGTTCCAGTTATTGCGGGCCCCGCGTGGCACGCAAGTCAAACCCCGACCTAGAGCCATCGCCCCGTTTCACGTCCCCCTCCGGGATTTGGTGCACCGTCCCTGCGGGATCTCTCTTTATGCTTGGGGTTTGGTTATATCCCAATCCTTGCCCTTTAGTCATGGAGATCTCTGTTTCAACTCTGCCGCTGCTTGTCGCAACAACTCAACACGATTTGCGCATGAACCAATAGCCAAATCTTCAATCAGAATGGAGAATCCCAAGACAATACCAGACGCCACTCGTCCGGGACATCGGAAATTTAGTAAGCCGCCAGTCAAGGTCGCTTGCCTTGCTTGGTATGCTTCCCTTGCTCGTGAACACACCCTCATTGCTGATGCCATCGCCAAGTCGCACTCTCCGCATCCGCTGCGACGGACTCGAACGATGCGGCAACTGTGTTGCCAGAGAGACACCATGCTCCTACGTGCCCAGTAAGCGCGGGGGACCACGGATCCGCAAGCGGAAGCGGCCGTTGACTCCGGTGTCCGGATCGATGGATACGTCATTGAATTCCATGTCGAACGACGAGGTGGAGGTGGATGGGCTGGGGTTCGGAATGCCAGGGTCAAGTTCCGGGTCAGGACCGTCGTCACAGATATCGCTGTCGCAGGAGGAGGATGAGGGTACGTATTTCGTTGCATAGTGGTGTAGGCTTGTAGGCTAACAGGAGTAGTCTGGCTGGACCAGCTATTCACACTGGGTGCTCCAGGAGCCGGGCTTCGAAGTATTGAGAGCTCAGTGTCCGAGATTGAGCAAATATTCGATGAGATCTTCGCAGAGGACAGCGTGCGGATACCATCCGAGGTAGAGGAGGAGACTGCTGTGGAGCCGGACCTCCTGCAGACGTATGCGTCGGATGATGATATGTACGTGCCATTCCTAGGATATGGTGGAGATAGCTGACGAGACGACCAGACTGGACGCATATTACGTGTTCATCCATCTGTATTGCCCCCTTCTCCCTCCGCCTGAGCGACTCCCCGTGCGCAACAAACCCGTCTACGGCCCGGCGACCTACCGACCGTCCAGCCCGCTGGCACTTGCAGTGTGCGCCATCCTGGCCTTAATACCTCATCCGGAGGTGCGACAACCCTCGAAACCGGAATGCATCAAGCTCCGACGGGAAATGGCGCATTCGTATGCACAGTCAGCCTTGGAGGCTGTGGAGGCGGATCTGGAACTGCTGGATTCGGCGTCGGACCCGTCGCGCGCGCTGTCGGAGGGAGTGGCGCAGTGCACGCGCGAGCCGTTTCACGTGAAAGTGCCGGTTGGGCTGGAGGCGGTGATGGCATTGGTGCTGCTCAGTAGTTATGAGTATGCGCAGCGGGGGAATATTCAGAAAATGTGTAATCGGGCGGGACAAGCTTTGACGGCAGCGATGAGTGTGTCTTTACACGAGACAGTTGAGGAGGATGGGTTTGCAGAGGCCAGACGAAGGGCGTGGTGGATGACAGTATGTTTCGTGGTCGAGAATCGGAGATCGGTGCTAATGAGTGCAGTATATGACGGTGTGTCAGGGCTCGATTGTGAGCGGGATGGTACGTGTCACTCACCTTTCGGTTGGATGCTGCCACTGACTCTTTTAGCCTCCGGTGATCAATCTTTATGATCCTCGATTTGTCACCCCATATCCCAAGGTAGCTCACTTTCCCTTTCAAACTGAATGAGCTTCAGACTAACAGCTCAGGGCTGGAAACTCCTCATCGAAGCCCAACAGACGATCCTCGAAGCCACGACCTTCGTCCATGACCTCAACCTCACCATCAAATCGCAGTACAACGCACCCTGGATCTCGAAGCGTATGATGGATCTCGACAGCCAGATCACTTACCTTTTACATCCGTGTCGGGCGTCATCGCCTTCGATACCGCGGTTTCCACCCACACCCACCGACTCACCCGAAATAATAGCACTGCAGAGTATGAAATACATCGCCGAGATTAAGCTCCACAGGTGAGACATGACCCCATCCTCACTTTCCCCCTCACCCCATCCTAACACGAAGTAGCGCACGGATCAAAACGCATCGGTTCTGCGCCTTCCAAGACGCCGCCATCTTCCGCCGGCGCCACTGCGACCTTCACGCGACAACCCCGTCATCCGCAACGTCAGCACCAAGCTGCTGCAGCATACCTGCCCCGCAACCCCTGAACCAACCCCCGAATCAGTCTCGGAACTCGCGCATCTCCTTCCCCTTCTCCAGCCACGCCTCCTCAAAGATCTGCCTCCACGCCGCCCTCAACATCACCAACCTCCTCGACAATCTGCCGTACCCGAACCCGACCAACGAGATTCCGCTCACGCGGCCGCCGTACCTCGCCCGGCATTCGCGGGTGGAGATCCCCCGCACGATGCCCTCGTTCGCCTGCTGCGCGATGCAGGCGAGCTATGCGATGATGATGTTGGGGATGAAGGCGCGGGGGAGTGTTACATCGAATAGTAGTAGTGGCACCAGTGCTGGGGGCAGCGGTAGCGGCCGGTCGTTGGACGGGTTCGTGGAGGAGCTGCGGCAGAGTCTGCGCGGGGTGTGGAAGGTTCTGGGGAATTATGCGATTGCGTTTGAGGCCGTGGGGGGAATGAGAGGTATGTTTCTTTGATGTTGGGTGGTCTAAAGGTATGAATGCTGACTTGGGACGTCTAGATGAGATTGGGCTGTCGATGGGGTGGCTGGAGTAGTTGATACTCTGGCGGCGATGTTGGATGGAGAAGGCGATGGCGATGTGTCCTTGCAGAACTAGGAAAAGGAGATCTTCTCTCAGATTTCATTAACTCCTTTCACCTGGTCACGCAGTGTGAAGACGAAAAGCGTTGCTTTCAGTGTCCGTGGTGGAGTCGGGACAATCCGAAGCGGAAGGCGCGACAGTGAATGGCAACAGAAGATCACCGGCAACCGACGGTGTGCCTGTTTGCTGCCTCTGTGAAGCCACACACCCAAAGAACACCAAACTATTCACACACTTGATCCAGTCCTTGAGGCTCAATTGTAACCTAGCCGACTTCACAATCCTTACGCAGTGAATAGGCATCGGAGCTCATCTTTAGCCTTTAGCTTCCCCACATATTTAAGCATCACTTCTTACCTTGTTCTCAACCACACACACCTTCAGAAAGCATCTTGCAGGATACCAAGCTTGCTCACCAACAAATATAAAGCTTCTCCTCCGTAACCACCATCAAAAGAAAAAATCCTACTTTAGCATCCACCATGACGCAGCCAACCACCCCAGAAATCAACGTCAAACTCGAAACCCCACCCTACATGCAGCAAGACTACTTCCACCAGCTGCCCGACAACCAGCAGCTGAGTCCCCTGCCGCATGAGCAGCAGCAGCAGGTGTATGTGAAGCCGATCCCGCCCGCCGCGCTGGACCCACTGCTTCTCGGCCCCGCCGCGCAGTCGCTCAGCCCGCCCGCCCAGAAACCCCACCGCGTCCCGCTGAGCTACTGCCAGCTCCACGACCGGGTGCGCTGCACCGTCACCACCGACGGCAAGTGCTGCAATCGGCAGTTCGACAGCGAGGGCCGGCTGCGCGCGCACCACCGCCAGTTGCACGATAAATTGATGGACCCGTGCCCGTTCTGCGGACAGCGGTTCTACGGACGGTTCTCTTGGGGATTGCATATCGAGAAGGAACATGGGGTGTTTGTGGCGGATTGCAAGGTTGAGGACGGCGATGAGGTGGAGATCATACAGTGAGGAGGGGTTGGAGGGTTTCTTCAGTAGGGGGCTGGGGTGTTCCCCGGTAGAAAACGTTGAGGTTTCGCAGGGCGGCGTTCGAGGCGTTCTCCAGCGGGAGACTGATGCATAACGCATCCAGGATTAGTAGATGGATACACACCCTGCAGAGGATTTTGTGGATGATGGATATTGTTATGCGATGTACTCGAACAACGAGAGACTTGACTTCGTGTCAAAGAGGAGATAGAGATAGCATCTATCTAGCGGTGTTCTAATGGAACCCGGCCGGTCTTTGTACGCAGTTAATTGCTCCTTTATCCGTCCATATAGCAAGGGGAATATAAAAGAGTCAGCTTGACTGAACAATCACACATCCAACTTATGAAAACAGGTTCCTAGCACCGTGGCAACATGGCCTCCGAGTCAAGCGCATCGAAGCGCACCTCGCCACCCAGCGAGCAGCAGGCACCCGCTGCAGCGCCAGCTACAGCGCCAGCTACACCCACCCCTGTCAACCTCCGCCCCCCTAGGCCAACAACGCCCCCCTCCCATATCCTCCCCTCGATTCCACCAACCTCCTCCGCCCCGCCCCGTCGCCAGTACAGACTCCCCGACAACCTCTCAGGCCAACCGTATCCGACCCCAACCTCAACCTCACCCACAACCCTAACCCTTCTAATCCAAAGGACCCAGACCGCC